CACAAGGACGCGTCCGGTCTCCCGAAGTTTTGCCAGAACCGAAGGCATACCATCTGCTACATTAAAACCCAACCATTCGGCACCTACTCAACATAGCCGGTCGACACTTCCGGCGGTAGTTGTGTATATCCTTAGTTGTAAGAATCTTTCCGAATTCATCCGCCACAAACTGCCGCACCTCAGATGACGGCGTTCCATATCTCAGCAGGGCCTGGCATGTGCCCAACTCGTCTTCGGTTAAGCGTCGATTGACTGGAAGCCGATCGTAAAGAAACTTTGACAGTTTGTGGTTGTGTTCCAGAAAATAAGACGTCACTGCCAGTTGGTTCCTTTGCCTCCGTAGACAAAACCGCACTGGGCAGCTGGTGCTTCGCGTACTTTTTTTATTAGAAATTACGCTCGGCTTACTAGCTTCTTCGGATTCCACGGCTTTCCGTTTTTCTTGGAGGGCGCCTGCTGCATTTGTAGTACACCCATTCGTAACGCAAACACGTGTTGGTGCTTCGATTACTGGATGAACGCACAAATCTAGTTAAGTTATCCTTCATGTATTCATTTAAGGTATTCTGAAATGCCGGGAAGGATGAAGACGATACACCCACAAATTTCTCGACGCACTTCAGAGGCGAAGCCATAGCAGACGAAGTTCAATGCCGAATGTGCGCCGGGGGGTTTTCAGTCCACGCATATATGCAAAGAAGTGCAACATTTTGACGTTAAAGATTTATTACGCCCGCAGGGGTTTTGAAGAAAAATACATTGTGCGTCTAGCCGCTGGCCACGTAAACCGGTAAAAATGCGTATTGTTGGTACTCCGCGACCTTAAAATTTCGTCCATTTCAACCATATGCTATAAGCACCGAAAAATGCAAATAGATCGGACTAACTCTCTGTTGAAGTCACAATTTCGGACAACATATAGTCTCGATGAAAATAATTTGGGTGCGCAAATAGCCAGCGGCGGGGTGAAACAGAAAATGTCACGATTTAACATAGGACGCTGATGGTGTAAAGTAAGCGCGGAAAACCGCCACAGTCAGGAGCCAGATCATTCACGGAGAATGGAGCTTTTGTTTTGATTATTCCAAGGAACACCTTCATGCAGCTGGGGGATGGCGAGGGGCACAACGATCAGCTTGGTTAAATATTTCCATGATGTTTCACTCGATTCAGGCGGAAGTTCCATCAACTCAGCAGACGCTACTGTAGTAGGCAGCTCGACAAGAGTGACCGCTTATCAACGTGAACAGCAAGAACAGTGTGGCCTACTGAAAACCATCTTGAATAGCGTCATTCTATGCCTCCTCATCGCCAAAGCTCTGTTGTCTCCGTTGCGACATGGATTACCGCCAAAAGGTTCTTGCATCCCTCTCCGTTCCAAGGGCAAGCGACCACAGAAAATGGACCGAGAGCCCATCTGGGGCAGCTTCTCTCAGCTACCCTCTCTCTCTCTGTCTTTTTCCCACATGTCCACTCTTCCACAGCCTTGGAAACAATGGAACTCCATCGGGAATTTCGCGCTCGATTAAAGCTTTCTTTTGAAATTGAAGATTGCAGGTGAAAAATACATCCGGTTATGCTAATTATGCTGTATGTTCCATTTCTGTCAAACAAGGTTTTTCACGTAGCCGGCACTTCCAGTGATGTATGTCCAGGGCTTTACAATGAGCATTTAAATCCGTAACATGGGACTAGAATCTTGACGTTCCAATGCCAGCTCCCTTCCGAAGAATTTCGAAGCCGCTAAGTGGTATTCATGGTCTGGTGCATTCTTGTGACTGGGAAAAATTGCCCCGCGAAAGAGCCTCGGCGAGCTATTTTTTCGGGGATTGTGAGAATAGAACTCAGAGATTTCGAAAGCTAAATCTGAAAATGTTTCAGTCATCTGACTGGCATCAAGCATACTCTTTGCAATCCATCATGGACAATCAAAGATAATCATGAATCAGTCAAATGATAAGTCATAAAAAAACATAAAAACATCACGGAAACCATGAAAACTCCGAATGAACTTCTTTTTTCATAGGATTGTTCGACTTTCTTTCGTATCGCTCTATGGACTTCCCCGCAATTTATAGTTCCTTCGTCAAACCCCCAACAAGCTGTCTACATAGGACGCAGGAAGTACCTGATTGAGTTTCCGGGATGTTTATATGCTGATGCTTGGACGCCTCCAGTTCTGTTATTGTGAACACATTAGGAGATATTCGCTCTCTTTCACTGGACTATCGTCGCTTCCCTGGGGACATGAAAATAAATTATGATCTATTCGAAGAAGCTTTGGCCAATAACTGTGCTGCTGCTGACGCTAGTATAACATAGGGGGTACTAGGAAATAAACGTTCGAGATGAGAAAGCACACGTACCATCTATCGCCATCTTACTTAGTCGGTGAGTGGCACATACTACTTCCGACGATTCCCTAGGCTGCGTCATGGACCCAATACAAATCATTCTGGGACGACTTAATGTAAACTGCACCCTGGCGAGCATACTGTTCGACATAGAGGACTTACGCAGTTTTGCCGCACCTTTCTTCGCTTGTGCGTTCCAGACAGAGTGAAGCCGCTGTATGACGAGAACTAAAGTGACCCAGGAAGCTTGGGCGAAATAATCGATCAAGGGTATCAATAGTGTGGTGTAGTGTCTGTCATTTTGGTAGATTTCTATATGAGCGTTGGTGTTGTCAAGCCTTGCTTAAGGAGTTTAGTTTACTGGGTTTTATTTCTGTTTTTCATCCACAGAAACTGTCCTGAACCCCTACATTCGGAGAATAACGGGCCCTGTTGCCTCCATAGTGTGCGTACTAAACTGGTCAGTGTATCCGTAATTATGGTATCCACTAGCGAGACTTAAGTTGCCCACCTTTTCACTATTTTCCGAATAAATTTCTCCCCTGCAATTTGTCTACTGAATAACGAACGCGACTCGAATATCTCTGACAAATGAAATTGTGATCGTAGATCCTGCGTTTTGTTTAAACTTACCATCCATCACGCAGGCAATCTTTCAACTTGGCGTCCTCGATCTTTTTGTCGTTGAAAAATATTTCGTAACCGAAGAGCACTAAATTGACTCTGGTTTCAATTGTTGAGGATCAGACAGTTTTCAGGTTCTTATACATGAACGAAGTGTATCGTGAAGGGAAACTATGTTGTCTGATTGATCACGTTTCATCGAGTCATACTTTCAAGTAGCATTTTATAATTCACATCGTTCATATATGGAAGAAGACGTTTGTGTTTCAAATTTCACAAGCTTGGAAGCCCTCGATGGAAGTCTGGAGGATGTCGATGGCGTTTTTTGCTCAGATTCTGCGAATTGGTCGCGGAGTTTGGGTTGCAGAAGTGTGGCACTTTCTTCAAGCATTCCTGTGGTACAGTCCAGTAGAACGACTGCTGTACCTAATATGATGCATCCAAACCCAAGTAAGCAGACCAAGTGCTTCCATTATATATGCATGTTAGCTTTCTGAAACCAGTGCGTATGCAGCGTTCTACGTGTAAAATTTATTCGTCCTAATATGATGCATTCCTCATGGAAAATTTCGCGGCGCCTAGTGACGTAGTCCACTTTTCGATGAATTATTAGGATGGAAATTTTCGGGCCGATCATTTTCGCCCACACTATACACATGAAGTACCACTTTACATTTTTACCTCAGTTTTCACAGGCGTTACTTTTATAGTAATTTAGGGTATCAGACGTTTCCACCATATCTTTTCAGAAATCAACAGTGATGATCAGGAGAATGTGATTTTTGCAATTCGAGGCTTTTCTTCCTCCTCATACAAGAGCTTTTTCGAACGACATTCTAGTTGTTTTTGACTTAACATCGGTCTTCAACCGAGATCTTCCTGTAAATGTGCAGCTGCGTAATTAAGTCCGCTAATCTATTTACTGTGATTTTTCTTTATCAGGACTATCTTCTAGACTCACCAGGTAATACTCTCTTACGTGCACTTTACTGTTAAGGGGGAATAAGTTTAAAGCATTTACCAAGATATCTAGCGGCTGTTACTTACAGTATGCGGTCAACCATTATTTAAACTTTATGGTACTGGTTTCGCGGGAACGTTACCTGCAAAGACGAATTAAATTTGGCCATTGCCTAAAAGAACGTTGACGTTGCCGTGCTGCCGTTTTGTCTAATTTGCCAACAGTTGCCTGCTGTTTTCTCACAATTTAAACCCTCTTCTATTAGCTAAATCGTCCTGCTTGTGAGAACATGCAATACGCTCCAATTGTGGACTTTTCTGGCTACTGTTTTTCACACACTGCCCAAAGGGTACTGCTATTCGATTTTCACCCTATGCATGCTTATTACTTCCCAAAATAAGTTTGTCCGCCAGCTCTTCTCGTTTGAGCGATCAGAGCTATATAGCCCGGAACAAGTGTTGACTTTCAGATGTCATCTGGCTCCTGGTCTTCGAGTGACATAAAATCGAATTTTCCTGTGATCGCACCCGTTTTCTTTCAACAAGGCGGAGCTTATTCACGAGGGAAGCTCATTGCGAGTAGTTACGGTTGACACCTGTGTTACAACAGCACGTAGGGATTTCCCCTTTTAGTGTTTGTTACTTGATAAGACCCGTCATAGTCCTGGGCCTGTCGTATCCACCTGGTAGATTCAAAGTCTTATTGTGGTTTATTCGTCCGCTATTGGTCATGTCTGGATATCCCATAGAAAGCACTTTTTATATTGAGTGATTTCCGTAGAGCGTCTTCTGCCGGTTCTTCACAGTTCTTCACATTTACTGAAAAAAGAGTGCGAATGAGGCTAGACGTTCCGTCTGACGGGTTAGAGATCCCGGTAACTCACGTCTGAAAAATTTAATGTGTATTCTATAGTCGGGACTGTCTGTCGAATGCCCGGCTTCTAATTATCTAGTATCATGCCAACCGTACGCAGTGGTTGAAGCATAAGATACGCTGACGGTTGAAATGTAAGTTGAGATGTATTGGTTTTCGTACTGAATTTGAGCATTCCCTACTGGGCTCGGACAAAGTGTTTACGACCAGGATAACTTGATATATAACATTTCATTCGTTAAGTTGTTCACATTCATGCAATACACTTTGGTTGTGTTGGCAAATAGACATAAACTGGATAACTGAAATAAATATCGGGACCTGGATTTATATGTTTTCATGAAGCAAAGTACGTTAAAATATCAGGGAATGACATACAGGATGTAGGTTTTAAAAATGCAGCGCGCGATATCACCATAGTATGCATTGGCATAAGCGGTAGTATATTTAGTACGGAAAACTGTGAAAATTGTTAGATTTAAATGATTAGGAATCCGTCATTTCCAGCATTTGTATTTTTTCATGGCATATGCTCTTCTCCTTACCTAAAAAACAGGGAAAAATTGTGACCTTTGACAGTTCGTCTTCTCACGTAAATGCGGCTTTGTCGCCAACCTGCTTCCGACTACGCTTATAAAGAGATGTTTTTGTCTTTTCTCACTGTTTACACAGTCCCCGAATCTGAAGGAGTTGTCGAATACGATCGTCATTTTGACGACATACTTCAACAAGTGGACGAGTTCTATACGTTATCACTTGTCGTAAGTGTTAAACTGGACGGATTGATTTGTTTTCGCATGTTCTTAGTTTTTCAGTGTGGTGTGCAAGAGAAAGCTCTTTGTACCAGACTCGCCTTCATATAATCTCAGTTCCGTGCATCCATGTCGTTGTTTTTCACGCGTAGGTGAAAGTTGCTCTGCCTAAGTCGATCGTACTAGATCGTAAACTGGCCATGGGAAAGACGAAAAGGAAATACGCAGTTTTTTGAATAAGTTGACAACTGTTTAACTTCTTGCGATCTCTCGTTTACACTCATTTCATATTTACGTAATTGGTCACTGCGATGTATCCAAGAGGGTTCACAACGAAATCAAAGTCCTGCTCATGAAACAAAGTATTTGCATATATGTGTGTATATATGACTCTCTGCGGTCGATTTTTAATAATCAGTCGCCTTCGTACCTGACAACCTGTAAAACCAGTCCTCTGGAGCCAGTCATCCTCTTGTATTCTTACACAATACACGGAAACTGCCGAATTGAAGGGTAATGTAGGCTAAAACAGATCACCTTTAGAATAACTGGTATTCACATCAAAACGGTGCTGCATAAGCGAGCGCAGTTGCGTAGGCTTCCAGACTCCTGCTCTAAGGAAGGAAAGCATGCTCCGCGCTTGGCTGAACGCGGACAAAGTGAGGGGAGTAGATGAGTATAGCGTCAGGTCCGAAGACAACAGGCCACTGTTGTTCGTTCCAGCAGGTCAGCTTCTGTTAGAGAAGCAACACTGTAAACGTGTTAGCAACGATTTAGCATCGGAAAAGCCTGTTTTTGGGAGATCCCGGAAGGTCGAGAAAAATGAGGAGCCTCGGGATGAAGGGAGAATGAAGTCTCCAAAAGATCCTGAATCCGTAGGGTTTTTTAACGGGACTATCCTTTCGAATATTTCTACCAGTGTCTATATTAGTCGTCTAAGGTAATATGATTACAAGTTACTGCCCTTGCCATCGGCTATTGAATTCACAGACTTTATGTTTGCATACTCTCCCCCCTCATAAGAGTAATTCCGCCGGATGGTTATATCCGTCTTACTGAACATTTTGAATGAACGTTATGAAGCCCTTTGGGAAGCTGTCTATCACAGGTGCTGCAACCGGCATTGGTTTCGTGCTCCGAAAATTGTCACAATTCTACTGGGTTTACAGTCTTTTCTCCACAGACTTTCAGGTGTATTATTATGAGCGAAAGAGATGATACGTTTACCGGTGATTTATTAGATGGCCGTTGATTTGTTCGCTAAGCTTGGCAATCAGATTGCAAGCTTGCCGTCACCAACCAAGGTGACACCATGTCCGTTCACTGATGATGTCACCTTGATTGATGATGGAGTGTTCACAATATGATTGCAGTGCTTGGCGAACAGATTAACAGCCATTTGATTAACAACCTAAAAAGAGGAATATGTAGGTATTTCTTCGGTTAAAATTCCCACATCACTTGTGCTCTGGACAATCACTTTGAGCCAGTCCTTAATGAATTGTCGGCAAGGCTCTGCTCAAAACAGAGAAGCATCTTTTTGGAAAAGGATGGGATTGTGACCCATCGAGTAGGTTACGCTCACGAACCCGCATTCTGTCCGTAGTAGCTGGCCGTGGAACCCCACAATAACTATCTAACACCGAGCTCAGGTTCATTTAATATGAATGTTAGATAAGAAACGTTCGTTCATCTATCCAAGTTCCGATAGCATACCAGGCTGTTTGCCTTTTTTGCAGTTTTCTGCAGCTCACAGATACGAACTTGGAATCTTGTTTGCAAATACATACCATCACCACCCAATTTTTCAAATGACCATCCGAAATAGGACTGGTTTAGGAATCTGTTTAGTTCCCTGTCTGTCTGTCCTAGGATTTCTGGCAATATTGCACACAAGGGCATGCATTCGAGCACTCAGTTGCTTATGATTTGTGTAAATTCTCTAGTGTTTCTTGTGCTGTTGACTGTAAAGAAACAAATTACGGCAAATTTTTCCTCATGCACTTACTGATTCGTAAATTTTCTCATGTTTTACTTTCCAGCCATAGTATAATAATATCATAATATACAACTTGTTATAATACAGTACAGTGTATTGATGAGCTGATTTTAACGCGTCCGCAATCAGGGCGCGCAGTGGATGCAGCGGCCACCCCGTATTCTTTCCAATGGTTACTCTAGGGCTACTGAAGGTGGTGTGAATTTATATCCTACCCAAAACGTGGCCATATATCTCATTAGGTCAGAGGTTTGCATTCATAAGCTTTTGTTTCAGGCCTTTTAGTTAATTCGGGCCATCCAGAACGACGTAAAGATAATGTACCGGAAAGCACTTTCTGTGTTCTTGAGTGGCCTGCTTTGCGTGCCACCTGTATAGGTTCAACGATTCAGCTCCTCCTCTGTCACCTTTCTTCCTGTTCGCCCTTCGAATTTTTTCGTGATAATCAAGTACCAATCGATACGTCCCACTTATACATATTGAGTGAACTGCCCACAAGGATTTGTCGAAGATTGTTCCCAGAGTACACATTTGGAGGGAGGTAAGCAAACTAATGTGATAACAAGAGTGTGCCCGATGTCATATTATGGAGCGATACGTCGCAAGCGACTTCAGGATCCCGAATTTTGATTAAGCAGTTTCACTGTTATAAGAGCAAGTCGAAACCAAATTTGTAAGTTATCTCAATCGCACACATGAACATTACAATATAAACACCACATAAACATCACATAGGAAGGACCCACCCGTGATGAGTGAGTGAATGTGATCTGAAGCGATATGCGGCTCAGTACTGGCTTGTTGACATGTGATATTGAAAGAGTAGCTAATGCGAAGGTGGGCCGATCAAGAGTGATTGTTCGTGATGGCCTGCGAAGAATCCATCTCAAGGTATTACCGGACCTGGGTAACTGTGTCAGTAGATAGCAAAAGGGTTATTGCTACCTATACCCTAAATATACGATAAACTACTCTGGCTAACTCGAAGTCAAATCTAAGGTTGAGTCGGATTGACTAAGTAGTTTGTTCCCTGAGCCAACGGCTGGAATTGTGCGGTTTACGGAAGCGAGAAAATGGTCCGTCTGTTTCCATATTTTTAAAGGACATAGGGTTTTTTGGACAAGGACCATACGAATTCCTGTCTGAAGATTTTGGCACTAACCTTCACTGACGAAAAAATAGGCTAGTTCTTTCGAATGAGGAAGAAGAGGATGGAATAGTGTTGCAACCCAAACTGTTTTATCGTTCCGAGTTAAGTACAGCTGCTTCCGGAAAAATAAAGTACCCGATTACTCGGGACACCGGATGAAATTCCGATTCCTTTTTCTAACTTTTCGAACGTTGCGTTCACAAGTTCACGGCCACTTTGGAAATGTCGGTGTGCCATGATTAGACCAGCATATGTTGTTGACCGGATGGTCCGTTCTGTTCAGCAGTTGAAGTTAGTGATATTTTGAAAATGGCAACTCACTGACGTCTATATTTTTGATAATCAAGAAAATAGCGAAAAGGTACGTTTGGGCGATGTAAAAACCACCTTTTGTGTTTTTGTTAAGAACGACTTCTGCACTCACTGCGCACCCGTATCGATTTATAAGGTTTTTCCTTCCAAACGTATTATGTGCCTCATTTCAATAATCAACACATTTTCGTCGACCATGTTGGTCCGATTATCTTGGATCCGAATTTGAAGTAATTGTGTCTTGAAAAAGCATAAGTATTCAAGAAATACTGGGTATCCTTATTAGTGTAATGATGAATGTTAAAAAATATCTCCACTCTGTCAACATGACTTCGCTGTGAGATCGCGAGGCAGAAAAACAGGGAAGCAAGACTGACTCTGCCTTGACGTATCTATTATAAATTCATCTATGAAATAGCCGATCTTTTATGTTTGCTAACTTGATAAATGTCCAAATTACAAAGCTTTTCAGTATAAATTCGAATCATTCAGTTGTCAGAACCCCAAGAAAAGTTATTGGTTTCAATATTCTGGATCCTAAAATGTGTCTTCTCTCTTCTGTTTATTGTTGCCATTGTAAAAGGATTCACATCAGTATTTAGCTATATTTACTCTTTCGTTGTGTAGTATGCAACGGGCTTTGTGGGAGGCTTGAGTTGTTGACAAGTTACCCAGCCCATAGGATGGCACTTGAAAAGTCAAAATCGCAGGTCTATCGGCTAGTAGCTTGCATCCTAATAAACAAATTACCTCGATCTCAGGGCCCGGTTGATTCCCCCTTCTGTTTCCCGTAGGAGCACCATCTTGAAATGCTTTCCACAGGTAGAAATATCCTTACTCTAACAGGAAGCTCTTTCTCTTCTCTCTTCCTACAGGTCCGTGTTTTTCGTGCGTTGCAACGTTACACTCAGACTCGGGGAGAGAAACATATATTGCGCCTGGCAGGGGATCTGTACCTCCGAAAACAGGTACATCAACTCCTGTCCACACATTTTGCCTACCAATCCGTCTTTGCAGGTCCCATTTTCCACACGTTTGACCATTGGTGTACGTCATACGTGTTTGGAGTTGACGACACAAGGTGGAAAAAGGAGTAATATTAGCAGTAAAAATAGTGCTTGTCATAATCAGATTGCAAGGGAACTCGCGAAGTGTCTCAGTTGTTTGGGATACACCTTTCGCGGAGAGCACCTACTTCTGACATAATCACTCTTCGGGAGTGCCGAGCAACTATGATGAACGTAAGCATAGTCTCGGATCGGTGTGGAGGTATTGTGTGGAATGAGAAGTAGAATAATGGTGTTGAATATTGTTCCATCACCATCATCTCAGCCCTATGTGCCATCGATCGTAATGTTGACTTTTTGGTTCACAAACAGGATCGTTTTATATTGAGGAATCTGCTCCCCTCGATCCTCCAAGGCCAGTTTTGGACATGGACAGTCAGTTGTTTGTGTTTGCTTACCGTTTTTGGCTGTACGTATTTACGACACGTTTGTACGTGGCACATGGCGTTGAGTGTACGCTGGTGTCATCGGCTTTCACACCCGACCCGGTATGACGGAAACCTTGTGGCTGATTCACGAGTCTTAACTATACTAGCATTTATTACACCTTGAGGAGCACTCAATGTCTTACATTTCAGTTTCTGGTCTTTATAAGTGTGTTTCCATACCGAAAATTCTTCCATGCTTTGGAAACCATCTTGTTTGGCCGGAACTATTGATGGCACGTGGCTAATATTCTTCTGTAAGCCGTTCCACATTTATCACTCGGGTTTACTTTTTATGTCTCGTCATGCTGTTAAAAAATTAGTGATAATAATGATAGGGGTATTCAACCAACGTACGCGGATTTAGTTTGATTTTTGTTTTCAGTTCCGGATTCTTCATTTTAAATCGTTGTTAAGGTGCACCATTTTGATGACCATCTAGGTACCGTAAATTGCAGGTGGAAATCCTTCTGGGTTTTGGTACGGTATTACCTTTTCTTCCGTGGTAGGATGAGGTACTGATATCGGTCACATTCAAGCCTCTGTAACTTCCTTCTGTCCACAGTCGCAATTGCATGAGTTCGCCGCAACTTCTCACCATGTTATCATTGATATCAGCTTCAAGGCGTGGTTCATTCGCAGTCTGTCGTACCGTGTTTGAGATGGCAACAATAGGGTTTTTAGGTGCAAATAGAACAGGTACAGAGTGACGGTGGTGATATAGGATTAAACTAGTAATTCCTGCCCGCAACCGTATTTATTAACTCCCCTCGTACCATTCGGTTATGAACGTTTTATTTGGCGTATTCCTCAACCGTAGGTCAGAATATTATTATACAAGATTGTACGTCTGCTTCCTTTGCAAACAGCTCTTCAGTATAACTTAACTAGGAATTGTACTACGTAGGCCAGTGTTGAAAATCCTAACTCACCTTCCCAAACTCCAAACTTCGCTCATCAATGTTTCTTTGCCACAATGAGAGATAAGGCGTTTCTTGACAGCTGCAATCTTGATATGGTCGCCCATCTTGGGAAAGAATGTCTTAAAGGACCGATGTAAATTGAAGGATTATCAGAAGGCTACACAGTTTGGGCGTACCTTTTGGTTTTCGTCTGTATCGATCTTGACATCCGTCTTGTACATATTCTGAAACCAATCATCAGTATGTACACAGATGACGCACATTCGGTCGGTGACGAAACATACACGATATGGCTGTCATGTTTGGTTAGAAGAACAGCTACCGAGGAGGCAACCGTATAAGGAATCAATGAAACGTTAGGGTGGGTAACCAAGTAGACCACTGGGAATTAGGATGGTAGATTTGAATATCAGTTCGGGTGGAACAGCAACGAATGCAATTTATCTCCACCCAGCTTGGGTGCGCTTATTTGATTTACTTGGAGTTCTTATCCGAAAATGTCGAGTTCCATCCAAACATCCGTTTCCGTGGTTGATGCTGACGAAGGGGTCACATAAACGATCAAGTTTCATTGGGTACTATTAAACTCAAGTGGTTCTCGAATTGTTCTGGTTCCCAGTTCGGAACGATAGGGGTTTCTTGGACAAGAAGATTAGGGAACCTACTCTTCAAGACCTGAGTATTCTTAAATTATGCTCATTCGGAGGGTTCATATCCGTCAACCTTCTGTGCGACCACAAATCTTTTGAAGAAACTTTAGGTTTTACTGCGTCCCTTATCTATGTGGAGAAGTCGATACCCAGACCGCCTCTTCATGTTTTCCACCATTTTATTCCTTAGGAATACGTCATTATTTTCTGGCTTATAATAGAGCTATATACTAGCGAGCGCTATTATCTAACTCTCTAACTCTGCAGTATATTCACCTACCGTGTATATCACAAGCATTCGACAAGACAATATCTGAGCTCCCGCCTGTTTCCTCATGAACAATCAAGATTTTTCATATCCACCAACCCCACCGACCCATAACCCAACTGTCGTTCTCGTTTTATTGTTTTAGACCCTTCAAGCTTATTTTCAAATTTGGACGTGGCGCATGCGAACAAAGTTGGGATCGGTCGACCGTTTATCAACTGTGGCTCGTGCTCATCACGAACATTGGATTTTACAACGCTTCTGGCATCGATGGTGTCAACGAGTCCACGACCGAAGGCGGTTTACAACTCTTTGTGAACTGGCAAATCATCACCAGTCTGTCACCATGAGTAGTCGCTTACTCTCTTGGGCATTCCATCAATGGCTCACTATGGCTCGTGATTCACACAAAGCGAATCATTTCTACAGGTAGGGCCTTTATCGTGTGCTTTGTGATTGGTATCACTTGCGGACATTTCGCTAAGTCTTGGTACATTGACTTTTAAACAACTGGCACTAAACTGAGGTAGGTTGGATCTGGTCAAACCATCGATATGCAATGCTTTTCAAAGGGTTTAAAAGATTTTTCATGTTTTTTACTCGCTTCATCTATCTGTAAAAAGCTGTTCACTCAGGATAGAAGTAAATCTGTCGGCCTTATATTTTTTATTGTCCCGTACAGACGATTCGCCGTTTCTGTGATTGGATGTTACTGTATAAACTATGGTTTTGTCTGTTGCTCTTTCCTCGAAATCCTCAGTCACAACATCTACCCGGTATTATGGGTGTCATTTCGCTTGGTCTCGAAATTCACTCAACTCTCCTTTTAACCCTGTTAATTTCACACGACGCTCCGTTATTCCCTTACTCTTCTTGTAGACGGAAGCTCCTTTGTTTGGCATTCAGCTCCTGGTGCAGTAAAACACAACTAAGCACCAAAAAACGCTGTCAAGAACGTCTGGCTATAGTACATCACAAACAGTGGCAACAGAAGTACTGGTTCAATATGTGGCTGAATCAGGTTACAGTAGAACAAGAGTGGCTGTCTAAAGCGGAGGAAGTCATACGAAAACGCCAGGTGTGTTCCTCTAAGCTGACGTTGGTTATAGGACTGATATATTTTTGTAATTCCGAGGGGCACCAAATCACAGTCTCGTATTATCGTTATTTCGTTATCAGTAATAGTCACAATACAGACCGTTTGTTGCTCACTTCGAAGCTATTTACCAAATAAGTGATTTTTAGTTTTTTGATTGCAAACTTTATTACCGGTGGTTTTTATGCCTCTGAAACTAGTCGTTTTAGTTGTTCATGATGCTAACTGTTTACGGTTATATATCCTGTTCCTGAGTTTTTAGTCGAAAGTCGTTTGTTTGTATGTACCTGCTCAATTTCTTTATTTACCATGTAGTAGACCGAAGCAAAAGCGTGAAACTTCTTGAAAGCGGGCTTTTTCAGGCATCACCCTTATCCTGACAGCCAGATAAATTTGGGCCACTAGTTCACTTGTAACTACTGCAGGAAAGCATAGCTTTGCAGAACTTCTGTCCGCATAGATTTCTGCAACGGCTCCATCACACGGATAATAGTTATGTGCTAAATAACCGCCCAATTCTCACGAGGAACTTGTATAAACTTGAGGCAGATTTTCCCCGGTTAACAAGAAGAATGTGTAATCTTTTTTGCCCGGAAATCTGGTCCTCAGGATCCAACAGGATAAGTCACCAGAATCCTGTTTAAAGAACCGAAAATTCGAGCATACTTTTGATGTTTTTTCCACTTTGGCTTAGGGTGCTCACTGAACGCATACACATCTGGTGACAAAGATGGTTATAGCTTATCCCAATCAGTTCCTTCACCTCTTCCATCCGATACGTGGTTTCATCTATTTTGAATGCAGCAACCGTTCCTCATTGTGTCTATCCTTGAAAATGCTAACTGGGAAAGGGGCACAAATTCACCAGGCAATGGGGGATAAAGTTTGGCCAATTTTTTCGCTGGCAGTTCACACGGATGAAGCATGCAAAGGTGGCTCAAAATGGCTCAGTGGTTAGAGTGCTAATTTACCGACGGAAGGCTCGTTGAAAATGCTAACTGGGAAAGGGGCACAAATTCACCAGGCAATGGGGGATAAAGTTTGGCCAATTTTTTCGCTGGCAGTTCACACGGATGAAGCATGCAAAGGTGGCTCAAAATGGCTCAGTGGTTAGAGTGCTAATTTACCGACCGGAAGGCTCGTGGTTCGAACCCAACCTCTGCACTTCGACTGCTCTTGTCTAGGCGTGGGCAACCTGGCAGTATCTCAGCCCTCGTGCTTCCTCCGGGTAGCATAGCAGCTAGGCACTGGAAGTGTGTTACAGCTGAACGATTTTTTTAATCTGCAAAGGTGATGCATTTATTCAGAATTTTACATCGTTACAACCGTTGCGTAAATTGTTACTGATTTTACCCCTGGAATCGACGGTATAACAACCGAACCTTAAGACGAGTGGTTAGTCGAGGTAGTATTACTCAACGCCTTTACAGTTTCTGGTCAGAGACTGGCGACGTCAGAATGGACTCGCGTTTATTCACCGGTAGTTCTCAATCATTTTTCCTACCGGTTTGTTTTCCCAATCTGCTAACGGATTGCCTGTATTTGCCACCCTAATTTTTTCTATGTGAGACGAATCAGGAAATATATAAGAGAACACGAGCAGTACACATCAATGTCGGTCCAAAAATAGACTCTTCTTTGTCGATACTTGGTTCCGTAACTAATTTTAAAGAGTTTCGTATGCAACTGATGTGCTACGTAGAATAACCTATTTAAGTTGTACTTCCCGTGCATACCTAAGCTGTATTCTCCGTAAGTCGTCACATTATTTTAAAGCTCTGATAATTTGCGGTATATCCAGATCTTTGTGCTATTTAGGTGAGGGGATTTTTCGGAGCTTAATCAAACGCACTCCTGTTATTGGCTTTTCCACATGCTGCTTCCGAGTTTGTCGATACAGCCAGATTGCTGCTACCGTTTCTTAAGGTTGTTTTGCATTGCCAGGAGACCCATTTAGGTTGCGGTCTGTTACAAATCTGGACGACTTTATTTAGTCCTGACCATCTCAGACCTGCTTCACATTAGCATAAAAACCGGTAAGTGAATCAAATGGTAGCCCAAGCTTAAGTGTTGATGGATGTTGTTTACTTACAGTCGTGGTCGCCATTGACAACGTTTTTGTATCTTGGTTACCATTTTTTCTGCGTTGTCGGCCAGATTTTCGGACAATGGTTTAGCACTCTTTATCCCCATTAGGAGTACTCTTCAACCTGCGCGACCGAATTGGTCACAAATGATAGGAGGCCGTTTTTTAGGTCCCTATGGCTACGACAGAAATATAAGGTATCTGATAGTTTCGTTTGTCAACACGGATGACTAGGAGTGAACGTATTTGATTTACTGCGTTTTGGAAGGAGCGAGTGACCCCTTCTTGCTTCTTTGGAAACATGGAAGTCGAAAGTCTGTGAGAATAAAGAAGCCAGTAGCGACAGTTATATGGACTTTCACATCAAGCGGATGGGTGTGTTTGTCACTCATTAGACACATTGCTTGTAACCGAAAGGACAGTGAGATGAAGTGATGAGCGTTTCTTTCACGTTATTCAACAATTCTGTCTTAGGTTTGTCGCTTGTTTAAATAAATTCTATGAAAGGCCTTCCCGTGTGCCAGGGACTTCCTAACATGTTTTTAAGGCATCTGCTACGCAGCTCAATTTAGCAGGTCATCCCACTCAATTTACACCATATCCAGGTGTTATCGATGGCTGACTGATGACCGCCAGGACTGACCGCATTTGCTTTGTGGTTCATGAGAGTTAACAAACTAATTTATGTCGTCCTGTAGCCACATAATTGCTATGTGTAGATTTGTCATCGATCACCAGCGAAGTGAAACTCATCGGTCACGTGGATTTGGTGTTACAACTTCGGTTGAAAGCGTCATACATTATCATCACCGCCGGCTTATTTTCAGATTATCCGATATTGGGTTTCCTCATAATTCATAAGTACGTGCTTTCGTATTGCTATAGTTTAAGTACGTCCATCCATGGTGCACATGTTTAGCGTTTATGTGAACCAGCTAGTACCATATCTCAATCACTGTTTGAGCTAATTACATTCCGTCTAACATCTATGGTTGCAGTTTTTATCAGTACGTCTGAATTCACTGTTCCAGATGAATTACTGATCGTCAGTGTCAACTGAGCGCACCCTTAGAACACGCTTCTTTCTCTTCCGAGGGGATTACCGAGATATTCACTATCTGGCACGTGGCACTAAAAACCCTCTGAAAATACGCGTTTGTGTTTCGCTTCATCTAGAGGATGGAAATCCAGCTAAAAGCTTACACGCAAGATAATTCCGGTTACGTTTATTCTGATGCTTTNACTGTTCCAGATGAATTACTGATCGTCAGTGTCAACTGAGCGCACCCTTAGAACACGCTTCTTTCTCTTCCGATGGGATTACCGAGATATTCACTATCTGGCACGTGGCACTAAAAACCCTCTGAAAATACGCGTTTGTGTTTCGCTTCATCTAGAGGATGGAAATCCAGCTAAAAGCTTACACGCAAGATAATTCCGGTTACGTTTATTCTGATGCTTTGGATGGCCATACGATCTGCTTCTTAGTGAGGTGACAAATTCGCATGACAAATTGACCGTCATGTAATATTTTCATCCTGATGGCAGATCTCTCAATCAACTTCCCTGCACTTCTGCCGTCAAGTCTCCTTTTCCTGCCTAATTTTATTGACACTCAGTGAACAATATTTCCCATAATCTGGCTTATTCATCGTGTATTCAACCCACCAGCTTTTTAAATTTGCTGTCTTCCTGCATACCCAACAGTCCCAGGCACAATTTCGGTTGGTGAAGTCAGCTTGGGACAAGTGGCGAGACTATGCTTCTGTTTGTCACCGGAAAGAACAAGCAGCCATCGTCCACAATGAACAACGAACTTTACATTTGGTTTCAGTCGCCTTTCGTCAATGGTATGTTTGGGCCACTCGGAAACGGAATCAGCGTCAGATGGTGCGGGCTCATCGTAGTGCTATGAATGAAAAACTGTTGCGCACGGTAATCGGATTTCGGTTTTCCATTTGCGTAAAATATGTATACAACAAATTCATGTATTGAATCCTTCTATTGTGTCCGGGTTACTATGGTAAATTGCTGCTACCACAGCCAAACAGTTCTCAATGGCACACAACTCTTGGTCGGGGTGCTCATTAGTATGATTACAGTTCATTTTCATATCTGTTTTGGTCCTGACTTATGGACATGTAGGAGAAACTTGGCCAGTATCAACTACTGAGATGTCCTCTAATGAGCTATACTCTTAATAATTACTTATCCAAACATTACTGTGTTTGGAGCCAAGTTTTTGGTTGCTTTCGGCAAAACATCGCCTTCTCTATCCGACCTGGTAGCAAACAGTTTTGAGTTGACTCTCTTACTTGCCCAATTGTGTGGAGAAATCTTTACAACAGAATTGCCCGTCATCTTTACTTTACACTTTGAGTGTATTTTTCCACCATCAACAGTTTTCGCCTAAAGTTACAAGAATCATTGAGAGGTCTAGTATCCCCCATGTGACCGTTCTGAATATATAGTCTAGCGTCAAGAACGGTTTGCTTACTGCTTATTACTGGCGGCCTGTTTTAAGCAGATTAATTTTAGTTTGCCTGCAATAAGAATTCAGGAACCTAGCGAAATGCACTCACATGCAAATAAATTACTTTTTCGAGAGACTTACCTGGAACCCAGCTGAAACTCTTGCTTATGATGTTTTTAAGCATCAACCTTATGAGTAGTGTATTACGTCTATACAACTCAGGATCTTATCAGACCGATCCACGATGAAGTCGTAGCCCCAAGGGCGTGAATTTCACATTGTTTGGCTCATTCGTTATGTTTACTCAGAGGTCGACTGACATTCCTGCATTCATACTGAACACTTACTTCAAATGGTTAGCTCCATTCTCTTGGTTTGGATGTTTGTCACTGATATCTAGTCCTTCGTAAACAAGTTGTACACGTTGACAGGTCTAGTTAGCGACTCCGTTAACCATGAACTCCACACTGAGAATCTCTATCTTTTTTTTGGGAGACGAAAGATAGAATCACGGTAGAAATGCTTGACCCCGATGGAAGAGTGTCTAAAAAGGTGAACTTGGCCGATTGGTTTCCACTTTCCGTACACTGGTGGTTTTTTCACCGGGTCAGACAGAGCTGATCCTTATGGTTTCACTATTTAGGAACTACATTGAACACAATATAAGAAATGTCAAGTTTCAAGTAGAGTCCCTCTTTTTCGAGTATCACTTTAAGTTTTTTTTCGATTACACCGGAGCTTCTATACTGCCGTTTATTCAAATTATCACTCAATGATTTAATTTGCCACACTTTCACTTTCCAGATGATTTCCCGGTGGCATGAATACACAACTTCTTATTCGAGGCGGTATACTCAACTGCAAGCGTGCTTTGAAGCGATGACAAAACTTAGACACTCCCACGCAATACAACAGGCATTCTGGCGCTGGCGAGTCCAGTGGAAGCTACAGATAGCTGATAAGTTTGCGTCAAGGTCGTTACTTCAGCGTAGCGTACATCAGTGGTATCTTCTTCACTTGACCAATATTCAAAAATCACGTCAATACCAATCTGCCGTACGGTTCCGCGAGATAACTCTAAAGGTAAACGTCTTTCTGGTAGTGATTGTCTGGCTTCAGATATGTTCGCTTCTTCTCACCTCTGTTTCTTCTATCGTTTGTAGTTCCTCAGCTACGCAGCACTTCATCGATTGGCGTCTGAGTTGGATCTTTCTTTGTGCATTGGCGTATCGCGGTAGTGAATAGGTACGGATAGGTTGACTTGTTATCTTTCGTAGCATTCTCTTGGGGCTCGCGTGAGAGTGCTTACAATTCTGCAATGCAGATTGTGCAGAACCGAAAGTCTGTGTAACGTCATCATCATCATTGTCAGCTGTAATAACCGCGTACTTGTAGCTGTCAAAGTTTCGTTCACCGATGATTCGGGGAGTTGGGGTAGTTAGCTGTGCATTGAGGGCGGGCATTCGTGCGTAAATTCGGCACTGTCACTGGACTGTCAGGTGGGAAATTTGGAAGGGAGCTATGCATTGTAGGAATAGTTTGGATGCCTGAGCGCCATTTAGGGCGCGACTGGGCCATGTCTGACAGTGTCTCTAGCCATTGATGTCGCCGGTCTCGGGGTCCCCATCCGGGAAGATGGCAATGACCAGCACAGCTGAGTTTGCTGCTAATGGCTTTCATAATTCGCTGCCAAGTCATTGTTTGACCGCCTTTGACTCTCTTCTACCCTTCACGTGGTTGTGCGAAAAGAGCCCTTCGAGGTATTCGGTCGACTCTCATATGCAGCACGTAGCCAAGCCAGCGCAACCTATGCAGTGTGATCAGTTTATTTATCGAGGGTGAGTTATTTCTTCTGAATAATAGCATTCGACATACTTTAGCATTGCTGATCAGGTGTTCCCACCAGACTCGGGCAGTGCTCCAAAGACACCGATGGTCAAACAGCGGAAGTCTAGTGACGTTCTCGGGACGCATCTGCCAGGTTTCTGACCCGTTTAGTAATTTGGAGAGCACCTCAGCACTGTAAATTCGACCCTTGACGGACAAGCCAGTTACGCCAGTTTATTTATCGAGGGTGAGTTATTTCTTCTGAATAATAGCATTCGACATACTTTAGCATTGCTGATCAGGTGTTCCCACCAGACTCGGGCAGTGCTCCAAAGACACCGATGGTCAAACAGCGGAAGTCTAGTGACGTTCTCGGGACGCATCTGCCAGGTTTCTGACCCGTTTAGTAATTTGGAGAGCACCTCAGCACTGTAAATTCGACCCTTGACGGACAAGCCAAGTTACGCCTACGCTACAGGTGACGCAGTTTCACAAGAGCTGCTCTGGCCTTCCCAGTCCGGGTGGAAATATCTTTCGCGAGACCACCGGGACTGATATAGCTGCCCAGGTAAACAAATTTGTCTGCTGCCTCAATCGGTTCATCTGCAAGCATGAAGCTAGGGTTCGAACCCACCCAGTCTTCGTTGATATATATTATTCATTTAGTTCCATTGGACTCACTGAGGCAGTATGAGTTGTTGATTGGCTCGCGTGTTCGCTCAGGAGATATCATTCCGGCGTGTAGTCTTCCAAGCTTTCTGTTTGAGCGGACCAACTCCTAAGGTGGAAATAGCCAGATACCTGTGACTGATGACCAGACCTTTCTTTGTTCTCGACTTTAGAGAATGAAATTGACACAGAACCTTTGTTTAAATTTTGCTAAATCATACCTCATATGTTAATCTACTCGTTCCTCCAACTCGACGCCTCGAATAAACTCGGTTTCACTGTTCACTTACCTACCTTGGTAGCTTTGGTAGTCTAGGGATTTCGTATGCAAAAGGTCTCCAAAAACGTTTCCAATTAGCCTTCGAACGACACATAACTCAGCTTCTAAGGTGAAAATACCTATAGCTGGTTTGTATAGTGCGGAGGTGGCATGTTTTCTAACCACTCGAGAAAATCTGGGGGTTCTGATGGTCGTCTCCAACAAGAGTGCCAGCTGCCAACTACTATTGACTCAGATACATTTCTCCATTCCTCCCAGAACGGCGCTGACCTAGGGCGTAGTTTGAGTTCGTGTCTTTGTTTTTTGGCATAGCTTGTTTCACCCTTCTGCCACGGATGACAATCTCGAAAATTCAGCCTCCCCTTACTACTTACAAAATGTGAGTAGGCTGCTCCGAAAGGCCGAGCAAGTCGTCTGGGGCGCCAGCCGACGGATAGGCTCACAATATGTGCAGAATGAGTGGCACTGCATGGTCGGCAACCTGTAGTTCAAATGCAGAATGCTCATACCTTATCCATAGGGTTACTTGCTCCAGAATCATGAGATGCGCAGTGCTGATAATTGACAAGGGTCAAGTGCTTTTCGGCGTAAGGTGGCTTATTTTTCCATAACCGAACGCAACGGCGTACACTGTTTTTGTAGGGTAAGTTACTACTGACTTTGACGTACGTCCTAGATTTGCGAACGCATGTCAAATTTACTATATTATATCAATATTGGCTAGATTCGGATAATACACTTCGTCCACACGATGAACGTGACTTTCTTCATTAAAACATTCATTTGCAGCTCTGGGGACGATGGTCGTTTTGAAGGAGCGTAATTATGACTGTATTTCAGTTGTATATAAGTATTTCTGAGAATTCTGCAAAAATCATACAGTTTTGGTAGTCTTGAATTGGGCTGCGGTACTCTGATTCCCGTTCTCCGTCCTTTAACGTGATCTTTGGGATTTGAGATTATTTGTGAACACAGCGCGTTAGCGAACCATCAGTGCTGAACACTGATGTCCTACTGTCGATGATGATTATGACCAGAACACATGACTCAGCTCACGGTTTTTTGACGGCAAGTGTATCATAATGGCAATATCAGTGTTATTATTAGCATCGTTGAACTGTATCCACCATTTGCACACTATCCACATTATAGTTACAGCCAGAGGCTGTGATGAGGCTCCAACGCACTTTATGGATAAGTGAAGTCGAGGAAATCAGTCATCCAAACGTGCTACAATGACTGTGCATTCTAGAACATCTGGTGGCGGGAAATTAAGGTGGGGTTAACAAGGGATTCGATTGGCTCTTGTTCACGCTATGTGGCATGTCGAAGGGCTTTTTTCAGTGTACTAGCAAGCGTTGCCTTACAACTCATAACAATCGGTGCGGGAGAATGCACCCGGTGGAATTACCAGAGCTGAGATTCTGTCAGGTTGTCCCAGAATAAACAGGAACAGTCAAGATGTCAGGAGTGGGTTTGAACCACCGATCTTCTGGGCAAGAAGTTCGCGCCTTAACCGGTGAGCTGTCTCGAGCTCACAGCAAGTGTTGCCCTTGATAATGAATTCGGTCAGGTATGTCAGATTACGGCAATGTTTCGAGATAGCCTGTTCATTCGCTCTTGTTTGCTATGTAAAATCCTTCTGACTGGAAGTGGCTATGATAAACCTTTTTGCTGCCCCGCCTATCAAATCGAATCCAATTACGAGAGGGATGCATCCTTGACGCGTCATTAATTTGTCTGCAAACCTAAGTAATCTCATGCACGATGCTAACGGTCGCAGCTCCTCAGTCTACGGCACCCTCACTTTTTGTGTCTCTTACTCCATCGTTCGGTTCTCTCGGCAGTTTATGTGTTCCCATCCGAACCATGCAATATCTAGTCTCAGCGAGGATTAACTGACCGATGGGCGCTCGCTAAGAGACCGAGAGCACCCTATCTGACATCAATTAAACCACATTTTTGTGAGCATTCTCTATTTATACTCATAAGCGGATCGGCTTGATTGTTATAGGGAAGGATATGCTTAAGTCGACCTCGGGCAACTACATTAGCGCGCTGGAAGAATCAGCTCCTTCCCGCGACAAAACCATATCTACATCCATAAACCAAACTCCCTATCCTTTCGACATACTCAATTTGTCTTTATTTGCAAATTGAGTTGGAGTTAACATGGGACTCATCTGAATCTTAGCTGGTATTGTTTTTGTTATTCTCTAACTGAATACACTGCGCAAAGGCCGCTCCATGTTTCAGTTGGTATGATACTCAGGAATCCGAAGTATTCTTTACACAACAATACGTATAAGATTGGTTAGCAGTTTCGTGCCTTAACCACTGACACCTCTCGAGCTCATCAGCCGCGTCAGCCCGGTAACATGATATGAACAGTTATCAGCTGGTAAAATGCGGTTCCCATTTTTTTCATGTATTCAATGTGGCGATAGCAGCAGTGGAGGATTCCATCCATTTCCGCATGTTTGTACGTTTGTAAACATCTACCAGTTCAATTCGCAGATGACTGATTTGGGTTTAAAAAAACAGTAAAGATGAAGTACACCATAACACTAAAACAGCAGTCGATGCTGATGAAACATGCGATCTTACGCACTGAGTTGTCTTTGTGTGTAGTACTGCCTATGGTCACGATGGACTTAAGACGTTTTTGCTTATCCATTTGACTGTGGAGAGTCTTTACTCAGAATCTCCTTATAGACTGCGCTGTGTGGTTATTTCATGTTCGCCTAATTTTCTTTTTATTTCATTTAAACGAACACTAAACATATCCCTGCACCAGACTTACAATGCATCATGGTCGTGTGTGAAAGCATACACACTGCCGCCATTCAAAATGCTGACTTCGTTCTTATCCATAACTCAATGAATTTATCAGTTCACTTGTAGTTTCAGCAGTGATTATATCGATTGAACTGACCAGAGACTTGAAGCAAGAGCAAAGGACCACGTGCCCAGAAAAAACTCTGTATTCCCTCAGCTGACCCTAACCCATCGCTGATCGAATCCGGGGTCAAATCGTTGATCTGTTCGACACGGGCATAGAGTTGAACTCAATTCATCGTTGTGTGTCATAGCGCAAAGCAGGTGGCCGCATAGTTTGAAGCTCCATAAGGGCATATTGATTAGTCATTTTATGCATGTCCTCTAGGCCCTAAAGTACCTAAGGGTCACTCTGAGACTGCTTTGGTTTTTCGAACGGTCATGTTTTGGATTCGTCCAAATGTTGTACGCTGCATTGAGTAATCTATCCTATTTTGCCTTAGACTTTTTCTGGTGGAAGAGTATACGAGCTGAATTCATCGCGCGACCTTGTGGTACTCACTGCCTTTTTCAAATTGATCAGGGGAGCATGATGCCTTAGATTTTACGCACGCTAAAAGGCTTGCATTTCGATATTAAAACCAAAGAAGCCCTGTAAGCTGTCCTTCCGTTCGTGCCATGAAAGCTTCCAGTTTAGTCGCTCTTGCTACCGATTGTTCAAGTGCCTATAGTTTTCCCCCATTCCCTGCTTCGAACTAGTCAGTTTCCGGGAAGATCCAGCCACACTTCATTTTGCATTGATTGGGGCGTGTTATGACAAACGTAGTGGGTGATGCGTCATAGAAGCTGAAAGCCTCTTTGCGAGGCAGTGTTTACGCTGAGTTGATGATCTGAAAACAATGGCAACTGCTTTGGCTGGTTTAATCGCACCAAACGTGATCAGACAGTCTCAATGGATTGTCGGTTTAGGAAGCTTTCTGTACTCAGCAGGCTGGTTTTCATCGTCTTTTCCAGTCCCCCTTTTCGAAAGAGTGGTGGGCTCGAAAATGACCTTGAATTTGCGGATTCTCCTTTGGGTCTCCAACGGTACAAGTATGATTAGTATCGTCTCATGTTTTAATTTGGTGCTGAAAGACTTAAGGGCTAAGATCAGGGAGCAGAGCTCTTGATTTTCTCTACATTTTACCATGTCCTGAGGAATTCTATGCTTTCGCGTTACAAGCTGTTTTTTCTCGCTTCTCCTTGTTTTCAGTTTCGGTTTTTAACCGCCTGGTCTGATCAGTATAAGCAAGCGCGTCGCCTACGGCAGCTGGATTCACTCGCCCTTTGTCGTTGGTCTTGTTATCTACAAGCACGTGTTTGGTCCGCTTGGTTGCGTTGGTCCAACGATCGCAGACGTGAACGGAATCTGCGTCAAACCGCTATTGTATATTACAGACAACGTAAGACGGGTGAAATATTCCGCGCTTGGAAGAAGAAGGCTGTATTCACGAGAGAGCAACGACAACGTGTCTTCTGTCATCATTTTTGGGTCAGTTGGGCATGTTCGGTTTCGTCTCTCAACGCCATCTGATGTCACATTCGTGAACATTCTGACTGCCGCCCAGCTGAACGGGTCATATATATCAATATATGGCACATACTCAGTGCAACCTTACTTAGCGTACCCGCTGTGTAGTCACAAGCATTTGCACCTTATAACCCACTGTTAATTGGAGGAATTCATCTTGTTAGCATGTTTCGATTTAGTTGGAATTCATTTCTGGTTATGGGCTTAACCAAGAGAATAATTTCGGCTGATACTCTCCTTGCTCAAAATTGTAGTCAGTGGTCCTTTGTTTTTTAGGTCACCGGTGAAAATTGTTGGCTGAAGTGACAAGAGACCGGCCCTGTTACATCCACTTGATAAGTTTCAACCAGTTCGTTTTTGACAACCAGATCCAGGTGTTCAAAAGTAGTATCTTGGTTGTATCGTACAATCATTTTGAAGTCGCAGCAGATGTTGTCGCAGAGAATCTAGGTTGTGTAGTGATGCTCCGTTTATTCCGTCTATTTTCCAGGCCACATTTCTCGTGATGGTTGTATAATGTCTCGTTTGCGCTACTTAGTTTATCTTGGGTTTTAATTATGCGACGAAAATCTTGGTCTCTTCCTCAGAACTCAAATTTTCACTGCTTCAGTGTTGCGTACAAAGCTGCAACACACTGGTATCACTGGACTCTCAAGAGACGATCCAAACGTCTTCAGGAAAAAGAGTCGACCAAAAGCATTGCAGATCCATCAACAGTACCATCTCCAATGCAATTGAATGTGCTAGATGGTGGCTGTTGTAATGAAACAGCTACTGCACACCAACATCCAGAGCCCGCGAATCCCACCACGGGGAATATGAACGATCACACCTTGATTTTGTCACAACCGCAATGCCCGCAATTCCTCCTACCGTACCTGCATTCGCAAGGCGTTCCGCAGGATGTGAGTTAACCATCTTACGTTTTTGTCACATATAACAACATACTGTTGAACGCGGTTGCCCTCTACTTTATACCCACAACGACAGAGTACACACCTGGTTCGTCCACATACGTAGCCGAGAGCTTCTAATTAAGCCGCGTCATGAGGTTTCAAACTTTTATTGCTACTCAGATGAACTGGACCAACATAAACACGAAATCTCGAAATATACTCCATACAAAGCACATGGCGTACTCACCGCTCTCATGATGTTTGGGCTTGTCGTCTTGAAGAAATTCATCATGAGTCTGGATTTTCTGACATTAGTTTTTATACGTATACAAGCTGCTGCTATTAGATTTCTTCTAAAACGGTTCTTAAGGGACGCAGTGTGCTTATGCTTCATGTCATTTCCTTTTTTTGAACCAAGACAGGTACGATTTAACTTCGCGAATATGCCGCAGAACTTATTGGATGATTTTGGTTTACAGTTCGATGGGCCCAGTATGTGGCCTGCAGATGTGGATTGATTTTCGAACATTGTTAACGCCCACCTTTATAACTTTCGCCTATGAAATTGACTATTCGTCATCCGGCTGTTATGGCCTAATCCTCGTGAATGACGGAATGGAAATTGAATACTGAATTTTCCTCACTTTTTTGGTGAGCTTTGCCTAATATCTCATCATCCGCTGCACTAAAGGTTAAATATAAAACTTCTGAAGACTGGTTACATCAGGAAATTCAGCAATGTGTTCCAACAATATCCTATCCATCGATTATCGCCCACACATACCGACAAGGGAGTGCCACACTTTGTTATACACGGATTTGTTTGTAATGATTCCTTGGTAGGGCTATCTTAGCACCGTTACTTGTGGTTTATAACGTGATGCCTGGAGAAATCATTTTCTGATTTTTGAATTGTGTTCTTTTTTCACACGGATGCCCCGATATTCCACAGACACTTTGGTTTTTCAGTTGCTGGTTGGATAAGGTTGAATTATTCATTGCTTAAAATTATATTATTCGGTCCCTTACTTACGTTCATATGACGTTCATACTACTGTTAGTCATACAATCTTTCCTCTGTCTTGAAGGTGATATCGCAGGTGTCTACAGGTTCCTGCAATGTTGCAGTCAACAATACTGCCAACTCAACGCAGCCCGTCGCGTTCGGTGAGTTTCTGCAATTTTCCATCCTTTGGGGATGTATACTTTTCTGGTTTCATTAGAAGGTTCACTTCTCTCTCGTCTGTATTTTTTATATCGACGAGAGTCCGATTTCTATGAAAATGGATAGCATGGTGCTTTATGACCAGGCGAAATAGTACGAAAATCAGTGTTTCGTAGGACACTTTGCAGGCACGATGTTTGTTCACTCGGGTCAGTCAATCAATTTATCAGCGCCATAGGCACATTGGTTCCATCTGCTACAGTTTCGATCATCGGAAAACGGGGAAGTAGGGCGCACAACTAAGGCTTAGAGGTGAAGACGTGTTCAGTTTGTTCGGGTAGCTACGCATTGGGGGCAATAGTTTAAATGCACGAGCGCCACTGACTGTGCGATTGGGCCATTTCCGCCAGTGTCATTAACTACTGATTATTTGAGTCCCGGGGTCTCCATCCAGGGAGGCGGCAGTTGCCCACCCGGCTAAGTTTACTCGTTAGTGTCTTCATACTTCGTTGTCAGGTCATACACTGTCCACCTCTCGGTTACTTCCACTTAGTACAGGGCTGGGCGAAAAGAGCTCTGTGAGGCAATCGGTATTGTGGCATGTGGAGCATATGTCCTAACCAGCTCAGCTTATGAAGCGTGAGTAATTCATCTATCGCGGGAGAGTTCCTTTTTCCCCAGACTATTTGGCGTACCTCAGCATTACTAATCCGATGTTCCCACCAGACCCGACCACTACTGCGGAGACACCGATGATCAAACACTGACATTTTCCGTATGTCCTCTGCGCGCAAAGGGCCACGTCTCTGATCCATAAAGCAGTATGGATCGCACCATCGCAGTGTAAACTCTTCCCTTGACAGAGTGGCTCACGTCACGTCGGCGCCATAGATGTCGGAGGTTGGCAAAAGCTGCCCCGATTCTACAAGTAACCTCATCTCCAGCCAGTCTTCCGGAACTTATACAGCTGCCCAGGGAAACAAATTTATCTACCACGTCGAGTGGCTCGGATACCCTCGGTGCTTATATGCTTTCAGCTGGTTAATCATCTGCTGGTTGCACTATTTGGGTTTGTCTAATGGGGTCTTAAGGGATATGGCAGGCTAGAATCACAATTGTCCACTATTCTTAAAGGGGGCGAGATGGCCAAGTGGTAAGGAGCGCAGATTTACTGACCGGAAGGTCCGTGTTTCGAATCCGACCTCCGCCTCTCGACTTTCCCTGTCTAGGCTTTGGCAGCCTAGCAGTATTCC